CGTCACTCTGAATCTACCATGGTAATAAGTTTTACTTACTGTTCTACCTATTATTATTATTCTTGATTCACTTAAAACTAGCCTTTATCAGTAGCATTATCTTAACTCACTTCAACATTATTATTATTACTATTACTATTGATATTACTCTGTTTGCAATTCCTGATATATTCTCTAATGACTAATTACTTATCTAAGTGATGTGTAATTGAAGCGTAACGCATTTTATCTTAATTTTGATCTCTCATACTCTCTCTCCCCTTATCTATTTGAACATGACCTAAAGAAAACATTCGCCCCTGTCTTTCTGCACGACTAATTCAATGTAGTTTATTTCTGCTAATCAGTCTTATATCTCCCAATGTAACTTCAAAAGTATATATCCGTGTATGTAGAGTATTCAGCTGACGAGTTCTATCGAAATTTGATGAATTCATTAAATCCTGCTTTATTAACCTTTATTGCTTGTTTTAAATTCGTATCGGGAAATAAATGTTTTCAATTCTTGAAGATGCATCTATGGTTAAATGTTGTTTTCATTTTCTAGCATCCCGAGTTTCTTCTTCATATCCAACCCTCCCTCTTTTCCATTCTTTCTATCTATCAGCTAGTAAACTCAGTGAGGTATGGAGAGTGCACGTCAACTGGGAATCGAACTCTTGACCGTATGAATAGAGTCGGTGAGTATTCTACTGTTGGATCAAACGACGCACCTCGTGACGTGTACTCTCTCACTGAATAATCGCTAGTTTAAAGTGAACTGGATAAAAACACAATATGCCAACAAATGCTAGATAAACAGTTCGACATCGAAATTCCAGTTATTAGTCTGAAAGAGTTGCTTTTAGGATGTACTATGAATGTGTACACTTCACATTCAACAACCTTTACTACAGACAAATCGACGACATTGTCATGGGTTCTCCATTGGGGCCTATTTTGGCAGATTTCTTTCTTGCTAAGGTTGAAACAAGTATTAGATAAAACTGATTCTTATTTTCGTTATGTTGACGATACGTTTTTCTATTCTTGATGTGAAAGCTGACAAGAATGAAATGTTAATAAAAACATTTAATGATGCACATCCATCGCTCATCTTCACTTGTGAAGAAGAACATGATGGTAGACTACATTTCCCCGATGTCCAATTGATCAGAAGAGAGGATGGTTCACTCAAGAGAGATGTCTATAGCAAATCTACATCTGTAGGACAATATACACATTTCTTCAGTTTTGTACCAATCCGATACAAAGTCAATTTGGTTAGATACCTCACGAATAGAGCAAGACGTATCTGTACAGATAACTCCCTAGAAAATGAATTAGGATACATCCAAAATACGTTGGTCCAAATGGATTATCCTAGTAGATTTGTAATGAGACACGTGAACACACTACGTACAATAAAGAGAAACTGACAACAGTTGGAAAGAAACAACTGTTCATGAAATTGAAATTTAATGAGGATGTGGCTAGTGAAGCCTTACATCTGAGATTATCGAGAGCGATAAAACGGACTTATACTGCAGTCACCACCTTCTGTTTGTCATTTTCCAGCTGCCGACCAATTATAATTGCTCAAGTGAAAGACAACCTGCCTACCTGTGCCACATCTATGTGTACCTACAAATTTACCTGCTCATGTGGAAAGAGCAAGAACTAATCGCCCAACAAATATATAGGAGAAAGTGGAGATGGATTGGACACTCGCTGAGGAGGCTGCTGGGTGACATCGCGCGTCAGGCCAACGCTCGAGTGGAACTCGAAAGGGAAGCGGCGAGTGGTTCGTCGGTGCAAGGGTGACATGGAGGAGATCGTATGAAGAGGAGCTGAAACAGTATGGACTAACATGGATGCAGGTGAGAAGTACAGCAGAAGACAGAAACAAGTGGAGACGTGTAGTTGAAGCCCTTTGTTCCATTAGGAACCCAAAGGAACAATAATAATAAAAAAAATGTGGAGAGAGCTATATAGGGCGAACAACTAGACAGTTTAACAAACACGTTAATGAGCATCTTCCTTCATGGTTCGGAAAAGGTCAAATAAAATCTATAAAAAGTTCTGTTTTGGCTCATTTGATTGATAGCTGTCACCTTCAAAGTGCCTTCAAAGCTATCTATCGCATTCTATAGAACCTTTCGAACGGAATTCGAATCCGCCTCTTACACATAGCCGAAGCAATGGGAATTAATTCGAGAGAGCAATCCTAGTCTTTGCATACAAAAAAAGTCTTTTCTACCTTTGTCTCTCTCACCCTTTCTTATTTTCCATCTCCTTCGTATTTTTATGATATTTATTTAAACTCTGATTATCTGTCCACTTCACCTACCTTTATTATTACGTAACTTTTAAGATTTGACCTAATTTATTTATTTATTTATCTACATATACACATACATATTACTGCCTTCGTTATTCTTATCGCCACCTGCATAAACCTTATTATCAGTATTATTTTGTTATCATTATAATCATCGTTATTACTGACGTTCAAAACATTTACCACATTATTATTATTATTTGATCCACAAACTCATCGTCATTGGTTAAAATTGTCACATATAAATCTATGTAAAAATAAGAGTAAAGCCTGAAGAAGAGGATCTAATTGAAAACAACAATATTCTTCGCTTATGTCTTGTTCTAATATTAAATATCAATGTAAGAGCGGAGAAACTAATGACCGACTCCCTCAAAAAACTGAACCAAATAGGAGTATTATCATCAGCCACGTCTGAGTGCATGAAACCAACGGGTACCAATACTCCACGTCTTTACGGCCTACCAAAAGTGCACAAACCGGGCCTTCCTCTTCGTCCTGTTTTAGATATGTATAACTCTCCATTTCATGGAACAGCGAAGTGGTTAGTGAAGATTTTGGGTCCTTTGCACAGAGAAATCGTGCAACATAGAATGAGTGATATCTTCGACTTTATTTCTAAAATATCCGAGACTAATGTGAAGTATGAACGCATGTTATCCATAGATGTATCATCACTATTCACTAATGTACCGCTCATGGAAACAGTAGATTATATTTGTCAAGAAATCGCCGAAAGGCAATTAGATTTAGGAATCCCCTTGTGTAGCCTCAAAGAATTACTTCTTAAATGCACAATGAATGTTCACTTTGTCTTCAATAATTCATACTATCGACAGGTAGATGGAATAGCTATGGGTTCACCATTAAGCCCAATGTTAGCCGACTTCTTTCTCGTAAAACTTGAAAACGGGAAATTGAAGGACATCATCAAAGAGTTTGATATGTATTATCGATATGTCGACGATACATTTATCTTAGCTAACGAAAATGTTAACATAGACGAACTGTTGATGAAATTCAACAACATCCACCCTTCGCTTACCTTTACTTGTGAAGAGGAGCAGGAGAATAAACTACATTTCCTGGATGTCTTGCTAAGTAGGAGAGAAGATGGGTCACTTAGGAGAAGCGTGTATAGAAAAAGCACTTTCACAGGGCAATACACACACTTCCTTGGCTACGTGCCCATTAAATATAAAAGGAATGTTGTAAAATGTCTTGAGAGCAGAGTAAGAAAGATGACCTCTTACAAAAGGAATTTGAATATATTCACGATTCCTTGATGGAGATGGGCTATCCGAGTAGTTTCATAAAGAAACATATGAAAATATCGGAGAAAAAACCGGAAACTCTGACTGTACGTAAGAAACCTCTATTTACTGAGTTACAATTTAATGGTGACTTATCAAGTGACATTCTATTCCAAAGACTTTCAAGGAGTATACGAAGAACATTTTATGCAGCACACCTACGTTTGTCATTCTCTAGCCGACGAATGATTGGGACGCAAACGAAGGATAAGCTTGATAGTTTTGCCACATATATGTGTATTTATCAATTCAACTGCACCTGCGGTGACAGCTTAGCCAACGTGTTAGTGAACATCTCCCATCGTGGTTTGGCAAAGGACAGACAAAAACAATCCGTAGCTCAATTTTGTCACACTTAATTGATAGTGGTAATGTAATCAAGAAAACGAGAGCCTTCAAAGTGATTCATCGTATCCCACCAAATGTTTTCAATAGACTTCGCATTCGTTTACTGCACACAGCTAAGGCGATAGGCATTCGAACTACTAAGCGTAAACTATGCACTCAAAAGAAGTTCGCACAGTCATTATTCATCCCTTCGCCCATTATAACCTAACCAACTAATGAATTCTACACCACCCCTTGTTTATATTTTCAACCCCTTTCTTATCATCCCTTAATCTTATCACATCTTCATTAAAAACCTGTCTCATTTACTTCCCTTACAATCTAACATTACTTAAACGGTTCATTTGTTTTTACTAGCCTTTATAGACTACTATGTCTACCTGAACATTTGTTTGTTTAATCATGCTGTTTTCATTATTCGTGTTATCACGGATTGCCTCACTTTTTCATCCTTATTATTGATAAGACCATTTTTATTATTATTATTATTATTAATTGCACAATTTATATTCACCATCGTATTATCCTATAGACAAAACACCATGATTGGTTTATATTTGCATTTTTATTTGTAAACTTATATATATTACAGTTAAGCCTGATGAGATCTAATCGAAAGTGCAATATTGTTCGCTTAAATGTCTTGTTCTAATATTAAAAACACAAGAAACAGAAACAGCACTAGTGTGTATGCATGTGTGTGGCGTAACTGTGGAGCTCAAGCGACAACTCCTCGAGGTACGTATTAGAAGGTCATGTTAGAAGTGACTTTAACGGACTTGTAATGTACGACTACTACTACTACTGCCACTGCTCTACTACCTCTTCCCTAAAGAGGAGGAGCGGGCCTCTCTACCCAGTAATAATACCTAACCCCGCCCCCTTCGTCATCATCCACCAAAAACAGCGGCGGGGACAGCCTCACCACCTTCCTTCCATTCCATCACCATAATCAACAACAAAATGACAAACGAAAAAAACAAAAACACCAGAAAAACTCAACACAAACATATACATTTTTCATTCATTTTTATTTTTCAAGAGGCAAGTTAAAATTAATTGTTGTTGTTACTGTTATCATTATTACTATTAAACAACAACAAAATCATGATCTCATTGTGTGTGTGTGTGTGTACTGGTGGTGGCGGGGGTGGGGGCGTGTGTATGCCTGTGTGTGCATCTTTATATATATGAATACGTATATGTATAAATACAAGTATTATTATATAATCTCATTAAAATTCGACTCAATGAGGAGAGAAGAGCGCGCGAGATACAGAGAGAAAGATTGAAAGAAACAAAAACAGATTGATTAAGAATAATAACAACCACAACAACAGTACACATGGGTGAATGAATGCTTCTGTGTGTACGTGTGTAACATGAGTGTAGAGAGCTGGGAAATGAGCGCGGGGCGGGGGGCTCAGGGAACGGATGTGTCGCCCCACCACCACCACGCCCTCCTCTTTTCACACACACACTCAGACAGATGAGATGGGAAATGAGAAATTAAGAATAAAAGATGAAGACACGGCACAACTGCCTTGTATATGTGCTACCCGAGAGTGTGTGCACGCGGCAATGTATGATGAATGACTTGATCGAAGGAGGAAAAGGAAAAGGAGAAGAAGAAGAAGCAGAAGAAGAAGACAGAGGAAAAACCAACCAACCAACCAAAAAAGTGTCTATTACTACTTATTATATAATAAATAACCTAATAAGTATGAAAATGGCTCTATTTACACAAAGCATGAATGCATGTATGTATGTAAGTATATAATATGCGCACATCATCAGATTTCGCCCCTTTCCCTCCCCCGCCCTCCATCCATCCAGAAAAGGAACTCAGACGACGTACACCGACCGACCAACCGATAGACCAACCATCAAAACTTGAAAGTCTCAGAGCTGAAGAGTCGAACCAAAGAACAGCAGAATGATAATGACAGACAGCAACAGAGAGAGTCGAGGGGGAAAATGCGGAACCGGAGCAAACAGAAGGGGAAAAAGGAAACGAAATGGTTAAAGAAAAGAGAGTTCCATGATGAATATGAGTGTGTGTATCTGAATGTACACGCGTTAAATACACAGCACAGAGATGAAGAACTAACCAACTAACTCAAGTCTTGGATGATGATGATGATGATGGCGGTTTGTCAGCGGGGCAAAGCTGGTGATCATAACAATAAAATCAATAATTATTGAAAAGAGTAGAAGGAGAAAGGAAGCTAGAGGAGAAAAGGAGAAACCAAACAGAAAGAGAAGGAGAACAATAAATAAATAAATAATCATAATATACATTTATTAGTTAGATGAAAAAATCATACAGAAAAAGAAACTGGAGTTTCTGTTAGTCCATCGACGTGTTTGTGTATACGTGTGTGTGTGAGACAGAGGGGGGGGAGAGAGAGACACAGGAACTGTGAGACACAAAGACAGAAGAAGGACAGAGGAATAAGGGCGAAAGAAAGAAAGGTGAATTACTTCCCCCCCCGTTGGAACACTAGACATGCCCCTCCTCTCAGTGTGTATGTGTGTGTATATATCTCCCCTAATTGATTGAAATACAAAAATATACAAGTTATGCTGTTTGTTATTGGTGGTGTGTTTATTGGGGGAA